GGAACATTGATGGTAGCTAACATAGTAGACTCAGCCGCGGTGAAGTCTCTGAATACTTTTCTTTCTTTGAATAAGCACCTTTGTGATATTATGCGATGTTCTATTCGGACACAGCAAAGATGGCTTACAGAGAAAATCGCTTTTAATTCGGAGCTAATACTGAGGGTGTAGAGCTCCCAAAGGAAAAAGAGAATCCGAAGTATTATTTACGCATGGCAACTTTCTTCCAGGAAGGAGGAGCACCCGGCGTAGCCGGGCGAACCCTCAAGAAGGAGGGAAGCCCGGCGTCAGCCGGGCGGCCAGACTGGTAATAAAATACAGAGACCGAGATCATAGAGGAAATATTCGTGATCACAAAGGCTTTGCCCACCAGATAGAAAGAAAGAGCTGGGCTGCCGTGCTTGGTGGCGAGCCTCCGTCGACTCCTCGTTGACGTTCTTCTCAATCGCCGCTCCGCCCTGAAATTCCTCAGATATTCATCTTGCAACGTCATCAACTGATAGCCGCGCTTGCACGGTGCGGCTCACACCTCCCCCTTCACCCAAAGCCCGTCCCTGACTTAAAGAATGAACAGCAGAGGAAAAGAAAAATCAGATTTTTCACCGGAAGTTAGTGGGGGCGTTGGAGATATTGGGGTGGCTCTTCTGCTGCGACGACCGCTCCGATGGAATCTACCCATTGCAAGAGGGTGTTCCATGTGAAAACCTTCCTTAATGAGTCGGCACGGCCAAATATGATCTGACCATGTCTACAGCGGGAGACAGCTACAGTGAGGCGGCGGTAATCGTTGAGGAACTCGGCTGTTGTTGGAGAGAAGTCAGTTGTAGCAGTAAGCAAAATGATTACCTACTTCCTTCTCCCCTGAACGGAGTCGACTATCGTCAGTTCCACATTCAGGGTGTCGAAGTTGGGCTTAATTTGTCCGTGTTGTTCCCTGGAGAATGTGATGACTCAAATATATCGGGGTGGAACTCCCAGGCGAATGAGGTGTTCAAGGAGCTGTTGGCAACATTGGGCCTCGCTCTCATTATAATACTACTTACTGGGCGCTTGGGCTCATTCCCCTTTCAAATAAAGGGAACGTTTGGGAAAGGGAAGCGCATGGTGGTCAACAGAAGCTGACGGGACTGCGCTGGGGTACCGCTAATAAGCTGCCCGCCAGAAGCGATGCGGTTGGGGAGGTCGATGAATGCTGGGTGGGACCTAAAGGTAATAATAAGAGGGGCGCCGCTGCGGAAAACTGTAAAAGGAGGGACATCACGCTACGCGCGTCGTGGAGGGCAGGGCTCGATTTAGGGGGGGGGCACTTGACGTGGAGGTCCAATTGGTGGACATACCTTCTATACACAGGCGTGCGCGGGTTAACCGACCAGCTATTGCAAGCAGCGTAGGTTCCGGGATTAGCGGCACTTCATCACCGATCACGGTGGTGGATTCGGTGAAATACGAAGTAGATATCCCGGTAGGTTCGGTGGAGTCAAGGAGGGATGCTGTTGTCATACATATAATCGGGAGACGACGTACGTTGAACATGATGTTCATCATACGCTTTAGAGTTCGCGGAACATAATGCTCCACGATTTCATACTCCTCCTGATCTTCTCCCGACATATTGGGAATCAACTCCGGGTGGTCGAGATAATTCTCGAGGATCTCTCTAAACTCCTGGAATTGATGACAGACCTAGAGGTCCTCTAAAAGATGTTCCCCTCAAAGTCGTCACCGAGAGTTCTGAGGATTTTGCCGAGGTCCACCAATGTCGGAGTCTGATTGTCAGCAGCGGCGGTGCGACCATGTTCGCGAAATTGCTCAAGATGAGAAGGGTCTCTGTGAATTGCGCCACTACTGCATTAGTAGAGGTGGTGACGATGGTGGTGTTCTTGGAGGTCACTGAAGCTAACGCTGCAATGAGGGACCCAACAAAGGTTTTCCCTGTCCCATGTGCGGCTTGGATAGCAACGAGGGGAATTGGCCCAGAACCGATGCCTACCGCATCCTCCTGATCGACGGTGAGGGTTAAGGACCAGCCACTGATGAGAGGTCAGCGGGGTAGAGCGGAGGGAGGAGGCAAATCACGGAGGTAGGGCTCGTTAACTTGTGCTAGCTACCTGACTGGCATAGAACAAGTTGACAACGTGATCTCCCATGACCCTGGGGCAAACATTGCCGAAAACATTGGCGCGGGAAACCAGGTCGTACACGGGATTCGCCGCACCTGTAGACTTACCAAGGCAAGCACAAATGCGCCATTGCTCGCTCATGCGACCGTGCGGCTCGAACGCGCTTTAACGATTCGTGTGACCAGGTAAACGCCTAGCTCACGACTGTTACCGTCTTCTGCGCCGAAATAGAGTTGACGGTTACTACTTTGGACCAAATTAGGCGGTCAGTGCCTGATATCCACATGATGACGTGACGTCCTGGCGCCTATTCCTCTTCGGATGCCGTATCCAAAAGGGCTAGCTGTATGCGCAGAGGATACCAGACAGAGTATGGTGGTGGGGACTCTGTGAGTCTGTTTATCGCCGCCCGCCGCATGTACAGCCGCCAAAGCTGAACAGACGGCGTTATATATTTTACTTAATCGTTGCTTCGAACCAACAGGATCACGTTGAAAAATATGGAATTGGCCGAGACGGTCAGTTAGCCTCTGTCCACTTGAGGGAGTTTGGAAACAGCAAGAAGGGAGATTCCTTCATCAGGGTGCATGGGTAGGAACGAACGAACAATGCCGGCTAACTGAGCTCGCGCCTCTAGGGAAACGGGGGGTTCGTAAAATCGCATAGCTGGCGAGACGTTTACCCGCGATCTTGCGCTTACGACCTCGTAACCATGTAACAAGGCAGTAAAGCGAGAATGTAGATGTGGAAGGGGTTAGGGTGACCGCCTCGGAGATATTTCAATACTGTGCGGGCATGAATGGTCAGCACGGATAGTCCGCGACAAGATGATGCCGTAGATGGAGTCAGGGAGATCATGACCGTAGCCAACGCAAAATGAGATGCCCTGAAAAACAAAACGGATGAAGTATCAAGGGTCATAGCCCGCAGCAATGAAGCCTGCTTAAGGACCGCTGCCGGGGACTGGAACGCTTGTCGAGTCAGCTTGGCTTCATAAACCCGTACTAAGCCTTTAATGGATGTAAGTCTTGTTGAAGCCGCGACCGCTGGTAACGATGTTGACAGCGAACTGATTTAGGACTATGCAGCGTAAGTCGTGACTATTGGGGTCTACAATGAAGAAGTCCTTGGCCTCCAAGATTACTCCTGGGCCATATCCTGTGGAGACGACTTGGTAGGGGAGGGGATAGGTGCTGCCATAAGGAGGAGGTGTAGTAACCTAGTTTTGATACAGAGAGGGCTTTATGTGTGCCGTACTGTGCTGTGTGTCGACGTCGCTATAAGAGCCCATTAAAACCTGATCAATTACTTTGTTCGACTTGAGTGGGAATTGATGGTGTCCTCTATGTGCTGTAGCTCAATAAATGGGATTGCCGAAGGCTCCCATTCATCATTTAACAAGGCGGAGGACTTCCTTGGAAAAGCGACTTGTTGAAACGTCTGGACAAGTAACCCGAGCCCAGAATTTGCTGGCGGGCAATCTCTCTGATTAGGTGAATTGTACGGGGTTAATGTACCGAGCCCAGGGGTGCAACTCGATGAGGTAATGGGAAAACTATAGAGCGGTTTCACAAAGCAGCTGAACTGTGTCCACTTGGGGAAGGGGTCCCGGCGGAAGAAGACGAGCTCGTTTGGCTCCACGTCCACGGACAGAAGAGGGGCGCCTCGCCTCTAGAAGAATGCGTTGACGGACCGCTGGTACTTGCGGGGGACGCCAAGGAAACCAGTTTCATGGTGAATGGGCCTCGGACAGAAACTTGAGCTTCGGGAATGTTGGGGCGCGCCATGCGTGCCCCGGGTTGGAAGACCTTCGGAGGGTCATTGGTGGGTGGCTGAAGTGGCCCGCTTCTACGTGAGTGGAGGTAATTTGTGGAGACTCCAGTGCGCGTGAGGTTTCTTGCGCAAGGGGGAGGGGAAGGCTTTATCGTCGATAATTTAGACATAGACGCCGTCATAATACGCATTGAATCCAGATTAGAAATGGCGCCTGATGGTGAATATGAGCGTCTAGAGGGCAACGGAGACGCTCTAAACGATTCAGTTTTCGCAGGCACTGGGACATCTGTGAAACAGATAATGGTGAACTTTTCGACTGGGCAGACTACAAGGTGGAGTCTGCGGAGGCACTGGTGCTTCTTTCCTGTGACTACTGAGGTTCACCGGAAGGAACGCAAGAAATAACCGTCTTGTTTCGGCCGCTACGTGACTATGAGAAGTATCAATGGAATCAATCGAAGAAGTAGTAGAAGAAAGAGTAGATCGCAGGCACTTTTCTGGATCTGGATCGGGAGGCAGCGAAAAGTCCTCCATGGTGAGCGAAAAAACTCGACCAAGAACGCCTAGGGAAGAACGCGCGTACATGTATAGCATAAGTTCTGTGTTAGTCCTTTTAAGAACTACGTTGCGAAGATAAACACAATCACCTTCTTTGGTTGAAAGAGGCGATAAATGAAAACGCTCGCATTGCGCTCCAAATTCAGCTCTTTGTCGTTCGTTGTACGATATTGCTGAATGCCAAGCAGCGTGGAGGATAGTAACAAGATTTTGTACGTGAAACCCTAAATCATCTGCGGGAATGTGACGCTCGGAATCGTGCTGTATAAGGAGATCGTTGTTGAATATTGGATCAGGTATATACATGAGAAAGAAAGGAGTAATGTTAAGTAGCGTGTACGGAATTGTCTGGAGGGCCCACGCACGAACAAATTTGTCCCAGTCGAGTTGGTTCTCGTTGATATACATATGTGCGGAGCATAGGGTGGAAAGTAGCGAAAGTGCGCTCACAAGCATCGTTACCTTCATAGTGGTAGGGAGTACCGTAGTATTATACCTCTGAATTCGAAGGAAACGTCCTATTTTTGTCATAACCTCACCTTTAAAGTAGGAGGCACTATCCGAAACAAGCTGGATCATTACGCCGAACACTAACGTGCATTCAGAAACAATGGCTACCGTAATCGCCGTACAATCGGGTAAAGTGGTGGCGATAACATACAATACAATGTCAGTCATCGCAGGAATGTATTTGTTATGTGCTTCGGACGTGTGCAGCGGGCCAGCTAGGCAACGTAAACTTTTTCAAGAATCGCTACTACAATGACGGGTATAAGTGCCTCACGGTTGGTTGCATTGGGTCTTTTGCGTTGACTTGCTTCACAAGTATGTACCAGAGTGAAGACATCTTCGACCATGCTAGGCCAGAAATACCTGCGTGAAATTTTTGCGAGTATTTTCTTCGAATGGAAGTGACCGCCCGAAAGAAGGCTAGTTTGGGTTGCTAAGAAAATGGATTCCCTCAATTTGACTGGCACCAGTAGCCGTTCGAAGCGAAAGGGGTGGCCATCTGACGGTCTACGTAATAGACGCATCCGTTGTTTCGTTTCACTCATTCTCCGCAATTGCTAGCCATGCCGACTTTTGTTGCTTACTGAGATAAGAGGGAGTCGCTGCGTCTCTATAAAGGAAAGAACACCAGAACAGAACTGATCATTCCTTTGTTCCTGTGGAGCATCATATGGCCGAATCGCGTGAAGGGGACCTATGAAGTGAACGGAAGATCGTAGTGATTAGGCCGTGAGGAGATTATCATTGATGCCTACGGGGAAATCAATTATATTCTCCGCCTCGGGCGTATCATCTTGGAATTTGACGCGTGAATCTCCAGAAGGGGAAAGGGTCGTAGCTCTGAAGCTCTACGACCCAACGCGTTAATTTGTCACGGGTTTTATTATGTTCAAAGGAAACGTGAGCCGACGGTGATCCGAGTAACCTGTAGTGTGATCACCGTAGATTGTATGGCGAAAGAAACGCAGCGCACCAGCGATGGCGAACAACTCTATGTGGGTAGGACTCCATTTTTGCTTACTGAGGTAACCGATAGACACATGCTGAGAATCGATGTCCGAAAGACGTTGGAACAAAGCTGCTCCTACCGCACAGTGGCTGCCGTCAGTCTGCAGGAAGAACTCCTTATCCCGTAAAAACATCATTGATGATTTCGAGGTTAGTTGAAGCTCCAGGTGCTTCCCGTTGTACAGGTCCAGATATGAACTTCGGTTTATCTTTCAGAGGAGCGTATAGAGGTGAGCAATGGACGCCAAATTCGGGATGAACTTTCTAAAAAAGTTGGCCATGGTGACGAATCCTTTGAAGGCCTTTGTGGTAGTTGGAGTGGGGAATTCCCGGATGACTCGTATATTTCTTTCCGCGGGTGAGTAGGAAGAGCCTGAAATTTCATGACCCACAAAGGTTATGCGGGTGCGCGCTATTTCTCTGCATTTTTTGCCAGGTGCGTTGATTTCAAAAAGGTGAAAACGGTAAAAGACTTTCCGTAGAGACTACAAATGATGGGGAAAGTCCATGTCAAAAATGTTTATGTCATCTAAGTGATCAAGGCAATTACTTTCTGGACCCGCTAGAATGCGCGCCGTAGCCCCAGAGAAGTAAGCTCACGCATTTTCAAAACCGAAGGGAAAGCAAATAAATTGATAAATACCGCGGTGTGCTGCCCATCCGCACTTTTTGACTCTCTGGAGAGAGGAGGAGTTGCATGTATCCTGATACCAAATCAAGAGTGGTGTAGAACTAATGACCAGCAATCTTAGCGGGAATATCTTCTAACGTGGCATAGGGTAGTGATCGGGTACGGCAATGCTACTCAAAGGACGAAAACCTGAGCACACTCTCAAGGAACCATCTTTTTTCTTGACCCACGGTGTGTCGCCTTCGACGATTCGTCCAGCACGCAGTAACCTGTTGATGTGATCATCAAGTTCCTTTTGAAATTTCAGATGGATGCGAAGGGGGCGAAATCGACATTGAGGGGTGTCAGTCGTCGTTTGTACAACAATTTCCGACTTTTCGTAGAAACCCAGATCGTAGGGTCCAAATGAGATCCTATCGCGAAATTCACAGAACAATTGAGCTAATTGATCCCGAATATTAGATGAAGGACAGCCATGCGAGCAAGCGAGGTTTCGGAGAGGGTTCAGTACAATCGATCATATTCTTTCTTCGCAAGCTAGACGAAACGAGAAAATTATTGTTGACGATTTAGCCAGGGAGCATCACCCCTGGAAGTCGTTCAATGACGACTCCAAAGTCGTCGAAGCCGTCAAGTCATCGCAATTTCGCACTGTCCACAAAAGGAAGAAGCGGCGCCTCCCTACCGCAATCAAGCCTCAGCACCCGCCATCACCATGTTTCTGAGCAACACTGGACGAAGGTCGCCCACAAAATGGCAACGCTATCAGTGCCGCTCAAGAGTCAAGGCCTGCGCTGCGACGTCACATCAAGCAGATATTACCATGCACATGGTACCAACGAGACATCGGCCGTATAGGAGATGTCCAAAAACACACGGAACTCGACATTATGGGCTTCCCATTCGCCCCCACTTGAACAACGGCGCCGACATCACCATAATCTCTCGTCCAACTTGAATGCAACTTGGAGTCCCGTGTATACAAAAAACCTCTAAGTTCTTCGAGAGAGCCAATGGTCCACCATTGCCCACTCACGGAAGGTTTAACGCGGATTGCGCGGTCATGGGCAATAAAGGCAAGGCTAAC